GAGAGAGGGAGGGAGGGAGGGAGGGAGGGAGGGAGGGAGGGAGGGAGGGAGGGAGGGAGGGAGGGAGGGAGGGAGGGAGGGAGGGAGGGAGGGAGGGAGGGAGAGAGAGAGAGAGAGAGAGAGAGAGAGAGAGAGAGAGAGAGAGAGAGAGAGAGTACTCGCCGGTGCGCGCGCGCCTTGCCGCAGAGAACGACATCCGAGCCGGTCGGAGAGCGCAGCGCAGCGAGCAGCGCCTGCCGCTCGAGGCAGCCCTCGGCCGCCGCCCTCGACAGCAGCGCGACCACGCCGTTTGCGTGCGGTGGCGAGCTCGCCCCCTACTCGACACAGAACGGCACCACTACACAGACAGGCGGCGCGCAAAGCGGCACGAGCACGCGCGCGGCGCTGTCCTCCCTCGAACGGAAGAGTGGCTTGCCGGCAGAGCACCACGGGCCGGCGGCTGCGGCGGCGCGGTTCGGCTCGGGTCGGCTGGCGAGCGGCCGCCGTTGCGGCGGCGCGTGCGGCGGCGCGAGCTGACCGAGCCTGTCTGCCGGGCTGGCGGCGGCCGGGCGCGGGAGAAGGTAGCGGGCGAGGAGAGGGAGGAGGACGCCCTCGCGCGCGCTGTCGTGCAGCCACTCCGGCGCGACGATCGGGAGGCCGCGCTCCGCCGCGCACGCGGACTTTGCGCTCTCGCTCGCGCCGCGCCGTGCGAGAAGGTGCGTGGTGGCCGAGGTGAGGTCGCCGCGGTACGACACGGCGGGGAGGAGGGCGGCGGAGGCCTCGAGCGCGTCCCGCTCAGATCGGGACATGCCCGTGCTGCAGAGGACCACCTTTGCCATCGGAGAAAACTGCGCGGACAACCGTGACCAACCGTGACCAACCTGGGCCCGGCCCGGGGCGCGCTCGGTGGCCTTCAAGCGTGAAAGGCTCGAAAGAATTCAGCGCTAACATGCAGTTCGAGACTGCGACCCATCTGACTCAGAGGAGGACGAACCAGTGGAAATTCAGTTGTCAGATGTCACGATGCATCCGAAGGGGACCCCAGCGCCGGCATCATCCGTAGAGGCACGAGTGTTCGAAGAGAGAGTGGACCTGAGCAACAACATGACGTGTAGGCAAATGATCGGAGTGGGAGTCAGAAATGTGGTCCTTGTGCGAGGGGAGCTTGATAGACTCGAGGGGCCAGGATACGCCGCGAGGAGGACGGAGTTGCGCAAGGCGAAAGAAGCCGCAAGAACAAGGGACCGGCAGGCGGCGGCGTCGCAGGACGAGGCAGAAGAGAACGACGCGACAGAGGAGGAAGTGACAAGGGAGAGACCGACGAGAGTGGGACGGCCGCGAGGTGGCATGAGAGATCTTGATAGCGAGCCGATTACCGTCGGCCGGCACGAGCTCGAGTTTGAGCTTGTCGAGCATAGGCGGTCGAATGAGTTCCTATATGGAGGAAAGTAAGACGGGAAGTGAGGAACGAGTCTATGGGATCCCTTGTGAACAAAGGGGTCAAAAACACTGTGGAGATGATTGGGGGTATATTGGTACATGGACATGGGGTGTGTATGAGGCTGTGCACAAAAATGGTGCTGCTCAAGGGGCATGCTGAATGGGAAGAGAGAGCGAGCCGGAGAGAGCCGCGCCTACGGGCAACACGTCGCGGCGTGAGCGTCGAGACGAGGCCGCCGGCACGCTCTCTCGCGTCCTCGGCGCGCGGACTGGAGCAAGCGAGAGCGGGTCGCTCTCTTGCCAGAAGAGAGGGAGGGCGGTCGCGCGCGGGACAAGGGTGGGGAGTGGGCAGCAGCGGACGCGTCTCGCGACCTCCTCGATGGCAGCGGCTGTACCTGCGAGCGGGAGTAGGCAGGCGGTGCGAGGCCGAGGGGGGTACAGCCGAGGGGGGTCAGCCGCTCGCGCGGCGAGCGAGGGCGCATCGCGTGGTGAGGAGGTGCGGCGGATTCCGTGAGCAATAGGCGTCGCGGGGGTCTAGGCGTGCAGCTCGCGGCGGCATAGTCGGGCGCAATGTGGCGCGGCACGCGCGAGCGGACGAGGAGAGTGCCATGATTGCCTGACGAGTCGACTCAATCAACGACACAGAGAGCGGTACATCTTCGAGTCACTGTTCACAGTTGTGGCTGTGAATTGACCCTTTGGGTCGGGTTGTTGCTGTACCCTGTGTCCCTTGCAAGCCAGGAAAAGAACTATACTTGCAAGCCAGGAAAAGATCTATACTTGCAAGAACTATACTTGCAAAAGAATTGTCTTGTCTGAGGGCTTGAGACGTTGAGAGGTGACCGCCTGGGGTACAGTATGCATGTGGAGGACCCAGAGGGCTCAAGCAGAAGCATATTTTGATACCGCCGGTAACCATACCCTCGTCCGCCTTGCGTTTGTTTCGTAACATCGAAGGCTAGCTCAGAAAAAGAACTGCAGGGAGCCGAGTCTGGCTCCTGCTGTCCGAGCTCTGTCCGGAACGCGAGACGGTGGAGGCGCGCTGGCCGCTGCGATGGGAGACCCGTAGAGTGATCTTTTGGATATTGGAAGGCACGCCCGAGGAGGCGGGAAAAGGGAGGCGGGCGGGCGGCGGCGTGCTCGGCGCGAGGGTAACGTGGGGGTGGAGGAGGCGAGGAATTGTTTTTCTTCTTTGCAGACAGCAGAGGACGAGATCCACATCGCAGAGCAGGCATCGCAGCCTCGCGCGGCGCCGGCGCACCACGCCCAGCCACAGCGCACTAGAGCCCTCTCGGCGACTCAGACCTGCGTGCTCGCCTGCGGCGCCGCCTCGCGCTGCTCCGCCTTTGCTGCGCTCGCAGTGGCCACCTAGCGCGAGCGCCACCGAAACGCAGAGAGCCCAGACACACGGCTGGGCGAAGACACGCGAGTTCAGCGCGCGCCACACTCACCGATGGCCTTGCCCGTCGCAGTGAGTCGCCAATGACTCATTGTCACCAACAGTCCGTCGCTTCCCCTGCGCGCAAGGCACAGGGAGCCGCGTCTAGAAATGCGCGCGGATCCCCTAGACGCGTAGGAGCCCGAACTCTGTCCCCTCCATCTCACCGCTAGGCGACCTCAAAGCTCAATCAGGACGACCACGCCTCGACCTTCTTGGGTAGCAGCTGGTTCGACAGGTCCTCACCGTGGCCTAGGCAGCCGTATAAGCCCTCGCCCCAAGTAAAGACGGCGTCGGCGGTGAGGGCGAGGCTGTGCGCGAATCCCGCCGACACAGCGACGACGCGCTGGCCAGCAAAGGCCTCGACCTTCTTGGGCAGCGGCTGGCGCTGCTGGTTGCCGTGGCCCAACTGGCCAGGGTAGCCATTGCCCCAGCTCCAGACAGCTCTGTCGGCGGTGATGGCGAGGCTGTGGCCCAACTGGCCATCTTCGCCATAGCCCCAGCTCCAGACAGAGCCGTCGGCGGTGGTGGCGATGCCGTGGCGATATCCAGCCGAGACAGCGATGGCGCGCTGCCCGGCCAAGGCCTCGACCTGCTTGGGCAGCAGCTGCTCCTCCTGGTTGCCGTGGCCCAACTGGCCAAAGTATCCCCGGCCCCAGCTCCAGATTGCTCCGTCGGCGGTGAGGGCGATGCTGTGGCGCTCTCCAGCCGAGATAGCGACGACGCGCTGACCCGCAAAGGCCTCGATCTTCTTGGGCAGCAGCTGATGCTGCTGGTCGCCGTGGCCCAACCGGCCGAGGTCTCACACAGCTCCGTCGGCGGTGAGGGCGAGGCTGTGGCTCTCTCCAGCCGACACAACGATGACGCGCTGGTCAGCCAAGGCCTCGACCTTCTTCGGTTGCGACACGTCCTCCCCGTCGCCGTGGCCCAACTTACCGTCGTACTCTCCATCGCCCCAGCTCCAGACACTGCCGTCGGCGGCGAGGGCGAGGCTGTGACTATAGCCAGCTGACACGCTCACGGCGCGCTCGCCGCCCAGCGTCGACGGGAGGAGGGTCGGCGTGTTGAGCTGCAGCACGCCCTCGCCGTGGCCAAGGAGCCCTTGGTAGTCGCCGACGCCAAGCGGCGCCGAGCCGCACGACGAGAGCCGCCCCTCGCCGTCGATGAAGAGGCTGTGCCATGGGCCTGCCGCCGCCCTCGCCAGCGGGTTGGACTCGCACAGCAGCGCAGCGAAGCACAGCCACCGCACGGCGCAGCCCTCGCCCTCTGGCTGCGCTGGCAGCTCGAAGCCGCGCTCTTGCGCCCACAAGCGGATGCCCTCCACCACAAGCGAGGCGTGAAAGAGAAGCGAGACGGCCGCGACGCGAGCGATGTCGGCGGGGCTGTCGCAGTTAGAGAGGGCGCGCGCGAGGAGCTCCGTGGGGAGGTTGAGGAGGCGGGTGGGCGGCGGCATGCTCGGCGAGGGAGCGGCGGTGGTGGTGGTGGGTGCGAGGCGGCGCGAGCGGCGGCGCGGCGGGGTGGACATCGCAAGAAAAGGAATTTTCGTCGCAAATGCTTTTTCTTAAAATCCTTTGTGGTTTTGTTCGTCCTCGCTAACTTTTTTCTTTCCTTTTCAGGGGATGCAGGAGCGTGCGAGTCGGGGAGCAGGTTCGGCTGCGGCAAAAAGAGAGCTAGTCACGATGGCTTCGACGACCTCGCGCCCGCCCGCGACGCCCGAGGCGCTAACTGCGGCGCTCCTCGATGCGGCCGCGTCGGGCGCCGCCGCGGAGGCCGAGCGACTCCTGCGCGACGGCCACATCTCGGCCACCGTCAAGCAGCGGATGCCTCTCCGCATTTGCCCCAAGATTGCGTGCATCGCACCTACACTGTGGCACGCGCAGTGCTCCGCCACTGCATTGCATTTGGCTGCGGCACACGGACACCTCGACAGCGTGCGTGTCCTGCTCCTCCGCGGCGCCGACCCTCGCGCGCTGACACGCAGCCTCTGTGGCGCGACGCCGTCGATGCTCGCCGCCTTTGGCGGCCACGCCGCCGTCCTGGCGTGCCTCGAGGCGGCGAGCGATCGCCCGCATCCCGCTACGCGCCTCTCTCCGCTGCTGCTCGCCGCCGCGGCGGCCGGCGGAAATGGCGCGACTGCGGAGGA